TACCAAAATTTCTGATGATGCTATGAGCACAGCCTCTTCAACTTACTAAAAGTAGTTCCTGAATGTTGATATAATTTTAATAAAAGAGAACAAACATTACAAAATTGTAGGCAATCGTCAAGTGCTCCTAACATGGATTACTGAAACCTCTTTTCCACGGAGGAGAGAATATCTTGCCAGACTTAACTTCAGTTGGATGTTATCTAAATCTGAGATCAAGAATTTTGGAGTCAAGAGGAAAAAACCTGTTATGTGTTGAATCTTGACTCTAGAAAAACTTCGCTCAGAGGATTGTATTTGCCACCAGAGCCTTAAATCTTCTGTCTTCCTGAATATGTGAAACTTGAATTGTCTGAGCATTTTCAGTGTAGAAAGGGAGTGATTTCCAGAGACTGTCATTTGTTTTCTGTCAAAGAGTTACCTTAGCAAACTCTTTCTTTCTTAGGAACCAAAAACTGGAGGATTTATACCGAGAAGCAAAGAAGCTGCCTCCAGTATTAGCTATTAAAAGTTTTTAATCTTTGAAAAGACTTAATTTGTGTGCAGCTGGGCACATCCTTAAGTGTGAATAGTTTTGATGTGTGTAAATGAGGGAAAAGTAGAAGTTTGGTGTTTTATTTTTCTCTCCTTAAGGATTCAGTGCCAACATTAAATCATAATCTGATTTTAACCCTTAAACACAGCATATTGCTGTGTCTGTGAGCAAAAATGAGTACCTGTGTCCTGATATTTGATTTTTTTTTTCATGCTGGTCATGACCTGAAGGAACTCTAATAGCACATGTACCTCTAGTCAGGTATTTTAAACTTGATCATGATCGGTTCTGAGGTGCAACTTTTCCTTCATATACTGTACATATCTTGGACCACTCGTGGGAGTGCTGCAGTCTTTAATCATGCTATTTCAAACTGTTGTGATAACATGTTTTTTCCTTCTCAGAATAAAAAATTTATTAAGAATGAACTTTCCTTCTCTTAATGCCATGTAATCCCATGAAACTATGAACAGTTTTTTTTATATAAAAACTCCTTTCTCTGTTCCGTTGTTCAAATGTGCCTAAAAATACAGGTTTAAATTAGCATGATTATGTCAGTGTGTTTTGATTCCCATGTTTTCCTAAAAAAATAGTAGAACGTCCTGATTCCATTGGAGAAAAAAGCTGTACTATTAGTATTTGTGTTTAGATTTTCATAGCTTCAAATTGCAATGCAGGTATTTTAGCGTGTGGGGAAATCTGACTTGGCCTCAGTTTGTATACAGTTCTTTTGAACTATGATGATTCGTAAGTGTCTGTTTTAAGGATTTATGAATGCCAAAATGCTTAAGATGGGGCTCGAGATTGACTCATCCTTCCAAGGTCAGCAAAATGAGGATCTCGATTGTTGGGGACAATATGCTGACATTGTAAATTGCTCAGAGAGTGCTGTAAAGCAATATGAGGTGTATATAAGTCTAAGTGCTGTTGCTACTGCTATGTGAGTACCTCAGCATAAAGAGACTGTGGCTAGTTTATAATACAGGTAAAACATTGATGGGAACTTGTAAAAAAAATGCCCTCCTGTGAATCCTTTAAATTATAACTTGACCTTCTAAGGCAGGGGTGTCAAACTGCCAGCCTGCAGGCTGGATGCATTACACCAAAACTGTACCCGCCCCACTGCCGGCAATGGGGGAAAAGTTGCGATGTGTCAACGACATGTCATATGACATCGCAAATTTGACACCCGTGTTGTAAGGCCGCCTTCAATTTGTTAACATAATTATATGTTTGCTTTTTCTGGTTAAGCCTAGGGCAGTGATGGCGAACCTTTTAGAGACTGAGTGCCCAAACTTCAACCCAAAACCCACTTATGCATCATCTAGTGCCAGGTGGGTGTGGCCCGCTGGCTGGGTGTGGCTAATTGAGTGGGCATGGCTCATTGGCTGGGCGTGGCTGCAGTGTTAACGGCAGACTGGGTGGGAAAGTTCAATTCCAACTTTGTAAGATTTTTTTTCCCGCGAGAAGTTGAAATTGGCTGATTGAACCTTTTTTTTTTTTTTTTGCACACGGCGGCGGAGGCCTAAAGTGAGAAGGTTTTATAAAACTCAGCTGAAGGCCTAGGACTGGGGCGATGGCGGACGTGCCCACAGAGAGGGCTCTGAGTGCCACCTCTGGCACCCGTGCCATAGGTTCGCCACCACTGGCCTTGGGCTATGTTTAAGCATATGGGTATGCATGTGCACACAAACTGTTTAATTAAAGATTTCAAACCGGGTCAGATGATTGAAAAAGGAAAAACCTAATATAGTTACTACCCAGCCTTTTAATAGGACATCCAACTTGTTTGAAATACGCTAGGAATGGCCAATATTCATAGTTACCACCCTCCTAAGAAAACTGTAGCCTAGTTGAATATATGGCTTATTCTTTTATCATATTCAAGTGCTCTGCTATAACATTCATATCACAATTTTGTTAATAGTAGGCATGTGTTCTCATTTCTGGAAAAATATTTGATCTTACCAGCATATTACTCGTTAGATATGAACATTAGGGTTTTTGCACGCCTGTTTTTAAAAACAGCATAATTGTTGGAAAACCCATTTCAGTTGTTCTCTTTTATATGTGCCCAGTACTCTACTTACCTTCCAACATCAAATCCAAACACTTAAGTCCCAGTTTTTGTCTTTTTTTTTTGATGTAGTTGTTAATGGTATAATAGATTTGATAAGACAAATGTGATATATATTCACTCAATATATTAGCTACATTAGGTCTTCATACCCATTGCTGTTTCCTAGTTCACTGGACAAGTGGGCAAGAAGTTGAGAGTTCTCTTCAAATATTCTCATCTCAGTTCTGCAAGAAAGCTGAGCAATGACAAGGAGAAAAATGGCTCTTTGGCACTTGTCACTGTTCTTGATAAAATCACTTCAAAATGCTTTGAAGGGGCACTCCCTGGGAAAGCTGCATTCTCTCAGTGGATGCTCAGGTGAGTTGGGGAGTGGTCTACCTTCCTTTATTGTGATATCTTCTTTAGCCTAATTCTCCTGCTGATGGGAGGACAATAGCACAGGGCAGAGATATAGACAGTTGGTGTTGCACTATCTGCAAAGTTGTTCGGGTTTCATATGCATGCATTGCTCTACTACAGCTGAAGAGAACATTCTCAAATTGCAAACTGGCCATTCAGGTACACTGTAGTTGAATTACGGCTCTGCAAAGCAATTTTGGGATATTCCTAAAGTGATTGTGTGAATGAAGACTCTCTCTTTGATATGTTAAAGAAGCCATGCTTCAAAGGGTGGCCTCAGCTGTTTATAGGGGCTGCATAGGCTATGCTTCTCCTGGGTCCGCTAGTGAAGCATAGGATATTTGCAGAGACAGGTATTAAAGTTGCTGATCAAGACTGGCAAAGAAGCTGCCTAACCGTTCAGAGAGGGCTTTATGAAAAAGTTCTGTTGAATACTTTGTGCAGCCCTTTTCCTAACATGGTATTTGCTGTTTTCTCACGCTAAATCAAAATGGACAGAAAAAAAGTTTCTGCTTAGGCATTATCAATCCAAATTTCATCAGTTTATTAACTGAGGACTTTTTCCCTGAATGTGAGCCAGCCTACATCAAAATGCCAATTAAACAATTGAGTTCCTAGTTATAACTTCTTTCATGCAGGATCCAATCTGGGTCGGTCACCGGGACCAGAAGTTTTGTCTTCTGAGCTTTCAGACTCATGCCTGAGCCCATCTTCAGGGAACTTCCTGTAGCAGTGTGTGTGCTTTGGGCTGTTCTGTGTGTGGTATTTATATGGTGCCTGTTGTATGTGGCTTTTTAAGAATCCGACCCAGATTGGATTCTGCAACATTATCCTGGGACAAGTATATTCACCATCATTCATAACATCGTTTATATCCAAACTGAAAATCACCCTAGTCCTACTGAATCCCATTTTTGCACATACCTGTTGTGACAATATAGTCCATTTAATATATTCTTTATTGCATTTTCACTATCATAAAAATTGGCTCATGAGTTACCTAGTCTTCAGGAATGTTTACTTTCAAAAGTGCCCTTAAAGTGTAAATAAATACTTTTTACTAGATCATTCCATCTACATCGTTAAAACATTTTAGCAAAATAATTCCTTTGCAGAAATAATTCTTCTGCATCAGGTTTCCTTCTATGTAACTTACAATTTTGACCGGCATTTTTTAATCAATGCATCCAAAACAGGCATTTTAACCTCTTGTCTTCTAGTTTTTAAACTGCTATGGCTCCGTTTTTGAAGAGTTAACATAACATGGGTTTCTTATAGTTTCCTAGTACAGGAGCTGGCTTTATGACCATATGTATATTTTTGATTTTTTAACCCAAAAGATATGTAAACAAACATTGCAAGTTTCATAGCTTCTTCTCAAATTGGAATAGAAGGACCATCAGCAAGAGTGGATATTGTGGAAGTTGTAAGCAAGCTGAAGTTAAAACAGTGTATGGCATTCTAATCAGACCTGTATTAAATCATCATATAACATAATATTGCTTCCGATTTTGTTTTTGAACCGAGAACAGATTCTGCTGTCGGATAACATAAACTAATTTAGGGTTGCAGAAGCAAGCAGCAGGGCACTCGATTTTGCAGCATAGATAACGTGTCTACTAATCTACAGAAAATTCATAAATGAAAGAAATGGGAATGAATAAAAAAATGAGGTCTCATTGCTGAGCTGCTTTCTCTTCATGAGAGTGGATAAAACATTTGGAACTCAGAGCAGTTTGAGCTTACAATGAATTAAGTTCAAATCAGCTTGTTGCGAACATTCCAGAAATGCTTTGCACTCAAAACTCTTTCAAATTTGCCAACAGGCATTTTGTATCCCAAATGAGGGATAATGAGGTATCTGCCTTACCTCATTAGTTCACCATTTTCTGCCAGAGAGCAATTCTGATTCTTGATTAGACTGAAGAATCACAGTACAATCCAGAAATGTGAGTTAAAAAGAACCACAATTACTAATCTGCTGTCCTTTTGGTTTTTTGGTAGAATTGCATTTATTTAATACAAACATCTCTCATAAATTCAGTTGGTTATTACCACATCAGGACTTCGAACGTGGGCCAGAGAATTTATTTGTGAATCTTAACATTTTTAATTCAATAAACCCATTAGCACATGGCTGTTAAATTTATTTTCTTGATTAACATGTTCTTGACAAACAAAAATTAGCCATATCAAAATATCTGATGAACGTTGATTATAAAAGTTTGACAATTTAATAGAAATTAGTATGAATTCAAAACAAAAAGGTTTAAATACTGTCAGAAATATAAAATGTATGTAACAGGCCAAATAAAATCTACATACAACTGTCATTTAACCACCCTCCATAAATTTTCTTTAAGGTTTTTAAAAAAAGCTGTTCTTTAGAATGCATTTTAGAGTAATTTGTACAAACATTAAATCATGGCCAATGATTCACAACAGTGCAATAGGAAAAAAAACACCCACCACATAAAAATAAATATTACAGACAGAAACTAAATACTATAAGCACCCTATAGAGTCAATTAACATCATCCACTTCAAATTGAATTGGAATTTTAAATGATGTAGCTCTGAAAAGCCACAATTTATTGTTAAGAATTCACTGCTGGCAATGGTAACTAATTAAAGCATAAGGCAGCTGAACATTTCCATCACAAATTTATGGGTATATATTACCAGCTTTTTAAAAAATTTATCGGAATCACCCTCTTAAGCACACAAAATGTCATAAATATGCTTCCCTATTTTTTTTATTTTTTTTTAGGAAACACTAAGAAGGGCTTGGAGATGGACCTTCTTCCCTCCATTGCATTGTGCTTGAGAGGACCTCCAAAGTACTTACAACACACTTTCAAATGTGTACCAAGAACTGGTACAAGTTCTATAACAATTATGGAGCCCTTTCTGAATGTAATACTTCTTTGAAACCCACTAAAATGGCCGAGATTATTTTTTATCATTCACCTCGGTTCCAAGATCCTGATGGAGGCTTGCACACTTCTATGTTGCACTGAACTTCAAAGTGCTCTCAATCCATCAAAGAAAGAGTGCAACAAAAATCAGCACCAACTCCCTATCCTAAATCATGGAACCTTGATAATCAACAACATTCACTAATTTCTTTAAATTATCAAAAGAAAGGGGGAAAAAAGGTCAGCTTTATGAGGTTTGCTATAAAACCTACAAAGTGCTTCCATTCTTATTCCTAATTAATTGGCAAGCCTAGTAATTGGTTCTACATATAGCTGCATTGACAATGTTCAAGAGTTCATAGTGGATTTATGGATATGTGCTTATCAATCTTTTCAGCTTAATTTTACATGTACTTTCATAAAGCTCTAAAAAAAAGTCAAATGAAAAGAACACGTTACATAATACTAAAGTTTTGAAGATCTTCCATTGTTTCGGGCACATCTATTTTGTAAAGCTCCTTTGTTACTGAAAGGCACAAGTAAGAGTGAATAAAAACAATTATGAAGAACGAGAGCAAAAAATTACAAAGCAAATAGATGAATGAGATATGGATTGGACCTCCCCATTCTTAACCAACAGCCACTTTTTATAGTTTCTTTATCCCCAACACAGACCACTGTGGAACATACTTGCAAACATCTATTTTGCTGTGCCAACTGTGGCTTCTCTATAAACACTTAACAGACATCTGCACTGACTAGAGATGTATCAGCCTTTTAAAAAAAAACTTCATAAAAGCCATTTCTATGCTAAGAGGAAGTTTCTTTTCAAGACCAGGGTGGAAATGCTTCTTACCAAACTTCCATTTAAATTAGATTACCCCCAAATGGCACAGAGTGCTCTCCCCTCTTCTGCTGGTCAGAGAGAAACATGGTTGTCTGCTTGTGTGGCCAGAAAGATGACCAAATGGAGAGGCGGGGGTGGGGGGAGAAAAATGTTCCTCTACTGTGACCTTCTCTAACTCTACCTGACGTTTCTGGTAGTCAAGAATTACCAGATACATTGGTATATGCCCAGCAGAGAATGTACTTTTTCCTACATCCGTGCAATGAAATATCTCATATGAAGTAGCCCTTGGACAGATAATGCATGAGAGAATTTGAAAATCTGCTCCGGAGTGAGTATGTAATTGTTTTAAAATGTACTATCATCCCCTCAATTCCCAAAGATCAGCCAAAGCTAACGTCTGACAGGCTGAGTAACTACAGCGCTGCCCTTTCCTGCCATCTATCTGTCTGTTTCTCTCTCTCTCTCTCTCTCTCTCTCTCTCTGCTTTATCTTTCCAAGTAACCTGAGCCTGATAGGCAGAAGCCACACATAGGACGGAGACAAAATATCCCCAGGAGGTAAAAGAGAAAATATTTACAGAATGTACAGGCCACAGATTTACAGTAAGTTGCACAGTCCTGGCTTTGCACAGGCAAGAATCCAAGCGCTCAGAAGTCCAATTAAATTGGGGTTTCTTTTCTGTCCTTGCTTGGAGATGGCTTCACTGACTCCTGGATTGCCTTCGGCTGCTCTTTCATAGCTTTTGTCTCTGGGACACTGTCTCTTGGCAGGGGCGGCTGCTGCTGCTGCATCGGGCCCCCTCGTTTCTCAAGCTCTTCCTCTTCCTGCACCTGCTGCTCCGTTTTGGCTCGCTGCATCTGCAAGAGGCGAAGCTGTACTCGCAGCTCAATGATGGCCTCACGCTCCTCATGAATCGCTTGGTTCAGATGGTTATTCTTAACCTAGAGGAGCCAGCCAAAGGGGAAAAAGGGCCACTTGAGCTTTATACACAGCCAGCTACTGATGGAACTAATGAATCATTAATAAGGTATTCCTCGCTGCATCTCTCTCTTGGAAGGGAGACAAGCGGGGGTCTCATCAGGCAGAACAAAAGAAGAAAGGAGGCACTTGGAATAATCCAGCCCTAGCAGAAGTGAGCAATTGACAATGGCAGATTCAAAAGGGGAAAAAAAAAAAAAAGATATGCTCCTGCTTTCCCCAGCCTTCCTCACAGATCTTAGTAACTGTTATTTATTTATTTATATATATTCATTTTTTAAATGTGCTTAAAAAGAAACTTTTATTTGTACTTTTGTTGCAGGAATTATCACTCAACAGAAGTTAAGAGAGATGGGATTAACAGGATATGAAGTACCGTAGTTCCCCAGTACACATCACACCTTAGCCATTAACTCAGAAGCTTTCACGGTGGCATCCATGCCAACCCTGAGATTTATTCAGTTCAGAGGGGTCAACTCTTAGAGATGTAAAGGCACATCTGCAAACTACAAAGGCCTAATTAAATAATTCTCCCTTAGCTTTCTTTCTAGCTATAATAAGGGAGCAATAATATAGATCAATTTTTCAGGCTGTCTCAAAGATTGTTGAAATAAATTGTATTCTACAAAGTGGTGTCATTGCTTTTGCTTTTTATATATGTCTATTGTTTTCACTACCAATTATAAACAATTAAATTACAGAGTTTATTTCTGGGAGGCCTTCAGATTTTCTATGACACTTGATCTATTCTAAGAATCAAAGAAAAGAATTATTTCAGTTACATGTTTTAATTGAAACGGGAAACCTCTCTCTGAACAATATTCTGGATTTCATCTAACTGGAAGAGTTTATTAAACAGTAGAAAAGCAACATGGAATGCCTTTATTGGAAAGACAGAAAAACTTTTTCAATGACATTTAACCAGGAAACCCACAGAAATCTTATGAAACTTCCTGTATGAGTAACATAGATCAGTGTTGGCATTTTTTTTCTTCCAGAATGTCCTTAAAAAAAAAAAAACTTCCATGAAAGAAAAGGACAGCATGGAAAAACAGGCTGGCAGAAATTTAAAAAGATTTAACATATTCATTCAATTATTTTTGTTTTATTACATTTCATCACTAAAACATAGCTCAGCAATAGTGTTAATTTTAAAATAAGAATTCCAAAGCCAGAATGCTGAGAAATATATTTTGGTTCTTAAATCATATGATAAACTACATGGAAAGTATTACAGGAGCCAGTCTTAGTCCTATTGATGAGCTTTTCCATCAAGTATCTGTCCAGATGACATCTCTACTACAAAATCATTGTGGACTATAAGGATATCACACTCACACTAATTCAGATTTTTGTTTAATTTATAAAATGACTGCATCAGAGCAAATATAATAAGTGCCTAAATTGTGAACAATTAATTTGCTATATTTATGTGAAAATAATACAATTCAATGCTTTAGTTTCAACTGACCATTCTTCCCATTTTTAAATTTCCTGGTTTACTGTTTGATTAAATATACAAAAAATCAGTTCTTACTCAACACTTAAAACACTGATGCTCATTCAGTTAAACTCTGCTATTATAACAAAATCCCATAAAAAGGAGTTTTTCCTATTATTTTCTCTTATTATTTTGTTTTAAAATTATCCACAATGGTTCGATCCTGAAAACTGTTGATGCTAGTTTGCGTTTAACAGTCTGCTTACAGAAGCAACATTTAATCAAACTGACGCAGGAGTTTCTGCCCTGCAAGTCTATTGATAGAGGGAGAAGCAGGAAAATAATCCAACATCTTCACATATAACCTTGAATGGAATCCATTGAAGATTTCTTAACTCAAACTATTTATTCATAATATTTTTAATAAAAATAAATCTTGCCTGCTTAGTAAACAGGTGTCATGTCAACCTAAGTATTATATATTCCAACATTGTTTCTAATTCTTTCATCTCTAATTCCTAGGGGTTTAAATTAACTAGAAAAGGATAAGCAGAGATGACAAGAACAATGCAAATTCTGTATTAGACTGCTTAGATTTAAATTGTGGGGAATTCAGCAGACTGTACTCCAAAGTAACGAGTAAAAAACTTTACAAGAAGAAGCCTTGTTTGTTTCTATACTGCACACAGAGCACGTATTTGGCATGCACAAGGTCCCAAGTGGAGCCCATATCATCTCCAGATAAGCCTGCGAAAGTTTCATTTAACCAAGCTTAGTATCAAAATACAGAGCTGCTTCTGGGCAGGATAAATGAATGGCCTGCCTTAATATATGACAGAATATTATGTTCTCTACAACACCACTGGACACAAAACAATAAATTTGGAAATTTACCACAAAGCTCATCTAATCCATGTGGGAAATGTGCTGGTATACTCCATAGTTAAGTAACTTTTAATATTACGAAGTTTGTCATTTTTGATTGAAATTTTCTTTTTCGTCATATGCTGCATCGTATAATCCCATGCCTGAATAAAGAAGCCAGTGAGTATCTACTGCAAAGAAAGCCACCTCACCTCTAGTTCTTCATTTTGCCGTTGCAAATCTTCTAAGATTATCTGTAACTCTTCTTCATCTTCACTCTCACTCTCACTCTCAGAAGAATATTCTTCAGTTTCACTGCGACCATGCTGGCGACTAGATGTGCAAGTGTAAATTTTGTTATCACTTTTGGCTTGGTTTGCTATACAACATTTTTCAAGCAGATTCATGCACACACAATGAACATACTCCAGAACACGATTTAATGAGTTTAAATGCTCATGGACAAGAATTACAATGGGGCTTAAAAGCTTATCCCTTATAACTGTTCTGGTGAAACAATGTTTAGAATATTATTTAAATTCAGTAGGCTTGGCATCATAGAATTTTGGCTGGAATGGACTATGGAGACCACCTAGCCCAAGCCCTTGCTCCTTTCAGAATCCAGAATATGCTGCTGTATATAGCAATAACATCTGAATATCCTCCAGATGTTATTGCTATTATTATGACTCTTAGAACTTCCACACAAAAGGACCTTGGCCTCAGACTTGCAATTCCAATATACGTGAAAGGTGCCAAGATGGAAAAGGCTATGCTACAACATTCCCTAAAAAATAACTTTGCAGGTTCGGTTTTAAGTCCATTCAGGGAAGAAGAATCCAACACTTCCTTAGGCAGTCACTGCCAGCCAGAGTCTACGCTATAAGAAGATTTCTTCTAATGTTTAACTGGAATTAGCTTACTTGCAATTTCCATCCACTGGTTAATCCTAAAGCAGAAGCTGGGTTACCTTTGAATTTCTGCTATTTCTGCTCGGAGACGATCTATTTCCTCTTTTTCAGATGCAATTTGTCGACGTAAAAACTGTTCCATTGTTAGCAGTTCTTCCTGTTCAGTCAAAATCTCATTCTCCTATCAAACATAATTAAATCATATGAGGAATTTTACTGAAATGATAAACAAATCTTGATTCAGGACATTGGTTTTTTTTCTTGGTTATAGCTTCTCATGTAGCTAATAGAAAAAAATGCAGAAAAAATGGGGAGGGATGAAGGAAAATGCAATGCCCACTGTACATATAATGCCCTTATATGCCTCTCAATATATTTGTTTAGACTGAGACATTTATTGCACATTGTACAAAAATAACTCCTTTTTTCTAGATGTAACACAGCGCATGAAACCATAATAGTGCAGGTGCTCTTCTCATGTGGTTATATTTTCATTTCCTAAACAATATATCTTGGTAGCTCCATGATAAATTGAAGCACTAGGAATCCTAAATTAGGAAGTTTGGTGGAGTAGGTGAAGCTTGTGACATAGTTTCATCTATTACATCTGGAAAAACTGGGAGGAAATTGTGGCTGCTTGCTGCAGTATGTCAGGGATTGGTTTTGGAGAACAGGAGGTTAAGCAAAACACAGAAATAGAAGGGGCCTGCTGCAGGGCGGTGAAGAACTAGCAGGGATGGTAAGATGTTATCCTATAAGGAGTTCCATCAGTGCAACTAATTTATTATTTCAAAGGGTCTTGAATTTCTGAATCTACAATTTACATACAAGAATCAGCTTTTTCAGTTATAAATCAGTGGTGAAACACATATGCTGCTGCTATTTTCAACTCCGATTCCAGAGATTCCAGATCAACTACTTTCTGTGTCAACCACAATAATTTCATCAAGTCCCTAAGGACACTTAGAATTGGCATTATATTATCACTTCTCTCTCTCTCTCTCTCTCTCTCTCTCTCTCTCTCTCTCTCTCTCTCTCTCTCTCTCTCTCTCACACACACACACACAGACACACACACACACACAGACACACACACACACACACACGTTTGCAAGAAGAAATTATCTCTTTCAGTCCCCAACTTATTTGCCAGTTAAACATTAAGAATGAAAATACTTTAAACAACAGATACTACCTGAGCCAGTAAAATATTTATAACTTCTTCATTTTCATTCATTTCTTCTTTGGAAACATCCTCCTTTGAAAGACTAGCAATTTCTCGCGCAATCTTTGTTTCACATTCCTGTATTGAAAAAATATTGACTAATAACTCAAATCAAGGGATCATACATTAATATGCAAGAATATTTAGATTGCAACCTGCAGGGTATTTACCTACAACAATATTGGGAAACTACATATGTTATCTCAAGCTTCCTAAAGCAGCATTTACAGATCAAATCAATCACTCATTTTTATAAGGCAGAGGGTAGTTGAATGAAAATGGGTGTTTTGACTTTCCCAAAATTGATAGACCATGAATTTTTGCTGGCATATCAGAAGCAGATTTGGGCAGTGCAGCAATTAGAAAACATTCCTACATGCTGGAACATAATTAAGCAGTTCCAGGGGTGGGGAACCTTGGCTCTTTTATGACTTGTGGACTTCAATTCCCAGAATTCCTGATTAGGCAATGCCCAATAAAATACAAGGTAAATGTAGTATAAAGTAGTTATAGTCAAAGATCAAAACAATCAAACTCTGAAAACTGAAATCACATCCAGAAACCTAAAGCTTCTTTATAGGACAGTGTTTCTCAACCTTGACAATTTTAAGGCATGTGGACTTCAACTCCCAGAATTCCACAGCCAGCATTGCTGGCTGTGGAATTCTGGGAGTTGAAGTCCACATGCCTTAAAATTGTCAAGGTTGAAAAACACTGTTATAGGAAGAACAATCAATGGTATAGTAGGTCTATTCTAAACAGAAACTAAACTGTGAAAAAAGTATCAACAGATGATGTGAACATTACAGTAGAATCACTTAGGTCCTGGTGTAGAAGCCCTGACAAAGTGCCTTTTCAATTTTTTACCCAATGGAATCAAAGCACCAGTGAAACCAAGAAACTAATAAAAAATATCTGGTATCAAAACTAACAAAAGCCCCATATTTTAACTATACTGTTATAAACTGGACAATCAACATTCCATCCACACAATTTTATATGAGAAAAGTACAAACTTACTTGTCTTTTAGCTTCTCTTAGCTTCCTTTTCAGAGCTGTCAAAATCCTCTGCACTTCCCATAATCTTTCTTCTTTGGATAAATCTTTAATCCCTACCTGAAGATCTCGGTGCAAACAGTTCAAAAGAAACTCCTAGTTTTAAAAAACAAAAACATTATTAAATATGCAGATAGTCCTTATTTAGCTAACATTACTGTGACAACAACCTGGTTGCTAAGTGGACACACACAACTGTGATTGTGCTTATGATATTTTACATCAGCTTTCCTTTTTCTCTACTCCCTTTGGAATGTTCACTATCGTGCTGGTGATTGCAAGGGAATTAAAGTCTTGTTTACATTAATTGGAGAGAAATTATTATAAGTAGGCACACAATATAATCAAAAGGAATGCAGTAACATAGATTGTCTACCGAGCACATTCAGGGACTATGAGCACACTAGGTAAAATAGCCAGTTCTAGCACATTCCTTCCACTTGTATTCTAATTGTATGCCTGCTTACTCTCTTATAATTCTTTCCTGTCCAATCTGGATGGATGGATGGATGGATGGGCGGACAGACAGATAGATAGATATGGGTCAGGCACAGGATGTGTACTAACCAATTGTAATGGCAAAACATAATTGTGAAGGTTGTAAAAATACATGCCTGGATCATTAAGTTATTTTTTAGCACTGTTGTAACTATGAACAGCCACAGTACAAGGCAGTTGGCAAGTGAATTCTATTTTTTCACAAATGGAGTATGTCACTTTTAAGTTAGCAAGTAAAATTTCCTGAAGATCAATTTTTGTCTATTGCTGGAGGTACTGAGAAAGCTTCTTAGTTAATATATATCATATTTTAATTAGAAAATATGAAAATTAGGCCATTTGTTCAACATTATGAGATTTGACCTCAATCTACAAAAGAATACAACTTTGGTTGAAAAAAAGTCAAGGAACTACACAAACAAGAGAGAATTAAATCTTAAATGAGGACAGTATGTAAGAGAAAATTATATATTCAAGCCTTAATTTAAAATGTCCAGGCTACCTGAAGTATAAGTGAACTTGTAAGCTCTTCTCTTAAATCTAAAATCTTGAAGATTTTTTTTCCTTCACCCTCATACCATAAATCTAGCTTTGTTCAATTAAAAGGGCCATAAATCAGTGATAAAAAGAATGGAAATAATTCCCTCAATCAAATTTTCAGAAAGTTCTAATCATTCAAAGAGGACCAACCTGTCTTCGAATCTCTTCTTTAATGCTTTCCTGTGTTTCTGGCAATGCTGGCATGGTTGCCATGTTAGACCAACGAAGAGGCTTTGTTACTGGCTTGAGGACCACATTTCCAAAGAATTCTTGCACGTGAGTGAAAAACACGTAAAGGACACGGTTGCTGATCTAAGAAGACACAGTGCCACTTTAGAAGTATTGTCATTCATTGTGTAGATTCTTGCAAAATAACAAAACATTCCTTTCTAAACACACTTACAGTATTAATGTTTTCAAGTTGTGAAGGTTGGGAAACATTGCATTAGAGCAGACATGACAAAATTGCGACGTCACGTGATTCGTTCAATGTATGGGGACGATTTTGCCATTGCCAGCAATGGGGTGAACATGGCTTCCGGATGAGGCGTCCAGCCTGTGGGCCAGCAGTTTGACCCCTTGCATTAGAGTATTAAAGCAACTGGATCTTTTGCAAGGTTTTCAAAGGTATTTAGAAAGCTGTCCTGCACCACAGCCATATGGCGACAGTCCTAGCAGAAATGGCCGTGTGTAACTACATCTATGCCCCAAACAGGAGAGAGCTGCTGAAGCTGTGTGAGCCTTACAAAGAACTTGACCTATTTGTGTGAACAACATACAATAGTCTCTTCTAAATGCATCTGTCCTGAGCACATACTTTACCACCTTGTAATGGAAAATAATGTGAAATGTCCAAGCGATATGGGCCGCAATCTATTATATGAACAAAGGTGGCCCTTGTTAGTTTAGAGCAGCAATCTTTTCAACACTCCTGCTTTGTTGGATATGTCGTCCTGAATAACAATTGAGAAAAGCTGTGCTATAGTCTTCTTAGAGTGCCATACAAACACCATACCAATCTCAAAAAGCAGAATGATAGAGTTGGAAGGGACTTTGGAGGTCTTCTTATCCAACCACCTGCTCAAACAGGAGACCCTATCCAGCCAAATGGGATTTCTGTTTCTGCTTTTGCTTCATGCCATCCAAATTTAGAAAAACACCACTTAACATTAACTATGATTAATCTGACTGAGTCAGGTTCAAATTACTGTTTATAAATCTGGATTCAAACTAATCAATCTAGTCAATCAAACTAATCAATCACATATTTCAGGTTGGCAAACTGATGTTAGTCATTGCAAAATCTTCTGTCTACATTTTAATCCAATGTAACCTTCTTTTAAAAGTCTAGAAGTATTATATTATGTATTTATAAATTAACATGGCAATTGCTTTAAATACTTATTTTAACCCTTTCTCCACCACAAAACATTGGTGGGGAAATCCTCAGCTATGTTCTATTACTTCTCAGGAATCTTAAAATGTAACAGAATTGGCCATAAGGATGCTAAAAAGAGCTACTGTGTGGTATTTAGCTATTAACAACTTTCTAATGTTGCTATATTTAATATCTAGAAAAACTCCAAATTCCAAAAAGGTCTGACTTCAATTTCATAACACTAAAACTCTAGTTAAATAACCAGAGTGCAAAGCATATGAACATATTGCATTCATTTAAAGTGACCCTATTAAAAACAAAGGTGGAGTAGGATGTAAGTGCCGAGTAAAGGTATGAACAATTTAACTAATCCTTATATATACCAGACCTCACCAATAATGAGTCATATTAAAGAAACACAATACCTAGAGTCCACCCTGATCTAATTACAAGTTAAATTCTTGGGCATAATGGAACATATTTAAACAAAATCAGTGAAACATCACTTTCAAATTATTTGTTGTTGATTTTTTTGCATTAAATTTTAAACTATTGATACTAATTGCATAAAACAGCTATTTTATTTAGAAGATCCTGTAGACCTTTTATTGACTGATCTCGTAACATTAGTAATAAGTAGTAAAACTACAAGTAGGTTTTTATTCCTGCAACTGCCTACTCGGGTACAAGGACCAAGAGCTTGTGACTATTTTAATATGTTTAGTTTTATAACTTTAATATGTTTTTGTATGTTGTTTTAACTTGTGATTATGAACCACCCAAAGATGGTTATAAGACGGGTAGCTATATAAATGTTTTAATAACATAATACATTTAATATAAGAAAGAACAGGAACTGTTTAGCTGCAATATTACAGTAAAACATCAGCACACAGACCTGCCTTATATTGTGGATGCTCCTTTTGTTGGTTCATTCAGAGTTCTTCTTTAATTCAAAAGTTTTAAATTACTCTTATCTGAATCTCTGACATGTTTAATTTTAAGGATAAATTTGAACATTGTGACCATAACGGTTACCAATTGTTATACAAAACATGATTTTAAACTGTCCAACTTTCTTGTTTTTCTTTACTGCATCCAGATTACAGGTAGCTTATTAAAACTTGTGGATACCTTTGTATCTAAATAAGTGATCTTACAAATAATAAAAAATATACTCTCGGGGGCCCTTGGGATTACCACCATCTTCAGATTCTATTTTTATACATAATTTTATTAGAGACTTGAATATAGATAAAATATCAACAGAAAAAATATAAAAAAGAAAAAGCGTAGGAAAACAAGAGAGAAAGAGAAAAACATAAAGAAGTATCTTCCAACAGTTACAAACAAACCTATTAGTTCTCTTCATTCTTTAAGATTATATTACATGGTTCCCTTCTTCCCGAATAAAACCCTATTTAATTGGCAAATCCATAAGTCATCTCTTCAAATTCCTAGATAGAGAAATATGTACCACCTTCTATATTAATGAATTCCTTCATGCTAATTTAAGTGCAGGTAGGATGTGTGACTGCCTGCCACCAAACTAAACTTCCATTTGTTGTACAATTTAACCTTAGCTATCTTAAATGAAGCACTAATTCAAGATGGAAGGACTACAATATCTGAATTCAATTAAAGCAGAAGTTTGTTTCCCTAAACCATATAAAATTTGCCATACACTAATGCCTTCTATAGGGCATTTTGTTAGTACTAATCACCTAACACACATAATGCATCCAGCTCATAAAAAAGACATGTAATTAAATATGTTTAAATTTTGATCTTGTGCTTTTGAATACTGCATCCAACATGAATTTGGTGCTAAAGACATCTGAGCACACTCCAAAGTGACTGGGATTTCTGGTGGCATATGAAAAGCAGAGACTTCTATGTCCTCAATCCGCAGCACAAATTTGGAATAAAGTGCTAACTGAAAGTCCATTTTAATTATGAGTTCATTATTTAGCAATGTCTTGTCAAGTGTCTTAACAATAAAATTCCTGTATGACCTCGTGTTTCCCCCCTTAAAAAAATAATTAAGAGAAAGTAGTTACCTAACTAATACTTCCAGTCAAACCTGCTGCAAGATCCCAGTCACAGTAACCCTGATATCAAAGTTGTCTTAAAATATTAAAAATTATGCTATACTTGTAAAATAAAGGCCACATTAAATCCTAAGAACTGGAGAAGTAGAAGCACAGAACTAAATTCAGCTTTGTTAAGCAGCTGTCCTCTGAAGTCCCTGCAAGAGTACCTCTGGCTTAGCTCACTTGGTAAGTTCCATATGGAGCATGTGCTCTGTAAGTATATTTCTGTTTTGGATAGTAGCACGCATTTTTTCTACAGGGGAAATATGCATAACTAACCACATGCGATGCAAATGTGACTTTCAGAAATGTGTTTGAAAACAGTTTTAAATAACAGCTGGCCTACACACATACCTGGACAGTTGGACTGAGCACTATAGAAATGTTTTGGATATTCATTTTTGTTTCTAGCTCCTTTGCAATGACATGGTCCATATGCACAATCAGCCAGGAAATCAAGAGAAAGTTACATTCTGGTAGCTCTTTCAGGAGGCGCTGGCATTCCTGCCGTTTCTCGGACTCCAGGCTCTTCCCACAAGCATCTTCAAAGCGAGGCATCAGCTCTTTGGTAAGCAGGTTTTCAGGAAGTTCACGCAGGTATTGTTTCAACAAGCTAGCTACTGTGTTGGGCTCATAGTCCTCTAGATTAGGGGATTCTTCTCGGTCATATGCTGCTTTTAACTCATCCACCTTTGATTTAATTCCTTAAAAACATTTAGAATGATTTTTAAATCCTTCGAGAATAAAAAAGAGTTATATTCAATATTTTTCTGTCATCTCAATGAATAGTATCACTTGTTACATTTGTTACACTTTTTACACTTTTCATCTGAGAACTCCCAAGAATTCACATGGTCTACCCCAGGGGTAGGCAACCTCGACTCTTTTATGACTCGTGGACTTCAACTCCCAGAATTTCTGAGCCAGCACGGCTCAGCTTGGAAACCTCTCCCTTTCCCCTCAGCATGGCTGGCTCAGGAATTCTGGGAGTTGAAGTCCACGAGTCATAAAAGAGCCGAGGTTGCCTACCCCTGGTCTATCCTGTCTGATGTTCTCACAGTTACAATCTATGACAGGGGTCCCCAACCCCCGGTCCGGGGACCAGTACTGGGCCACGGCATGCCAGTAACCAGGCCGCACAAACAAGCAAAGCCCCATATGGGATGCAGGCAGCACACAAAACCACGTCACCTCCAGTCTGCAAAAAAACCTCTCTCCACGTAACCGGTCCCTAGTGCCCAAAAGGTTGGAGACCTCTGATCAATAAGATTGTTAAGGTTAAGGTGAGAGAGAATGACTGAATGGGAATCTCTTCCTAAGAAAAATGGTTAGATGGGAATTTGAACCTAGTTATTTCACCAGCTATTCCAGTGATGGCGAACCTTTTAGAGACTGAGTGCCCAAACTGCAATCCAAAACCCACTTATGCATCGTCGTGCCAGGTGGGTGTGGCCCATTGGCTGGGTGTGGCCCATTGGGTGGGCATGGCTGCGGTGGTAATGGCAGACTGGGTGGGACTAAAAAGTTCAATCAATTCCAACTTTGCGAGACCTTTTTTTTCCGAGAGAAGTTGAAATTGATTTGACTGAACTTTTTTTTTTTTTTTTTTGCACACGGCGGAGGCCTAAAGTGAAAAGGTTTTATAAAACCCAGCTGACAGCTTAGGACTGGGGAGACAGCGCGCGTGCCCACAGAGAGGGCTCTGAGTGCCGCCTCTGGCACCTGTGCCATAGGTTCGCCACCACTGAGCTATTCTATCCATAAAAGATAGCACAATATTGGTGATGCCCTTTGAATGGCAAATAATTATAAAACCAACCTAAATCCTACCAAAATTCAGAGAAACACGCTTATTCAGTAATACCATTTTGCTTACAGGATTCTATCTTCAGCTACTATTTAAAGCTCTTCTAGTCCTCCTGTACAATACTCGATTTTGGTTTTCCATCCTATCTTCCTTCTGGAGAGTAACACATTCCTGGGCCCAAATCACATATAACAATGCTACATAAGGGCTGCAAGTGAGGGCAAATAAAAAAAGTGCAATGGAAGAAAGATCTGCCATCTCTCATTGATTAAAAAAAAAGGCAGGAGGAAAATAGAGAGAGACAGGATGATACTGTAATTTGTTGGAATTTCAGAATTCTCTCCATCCCTTTAAATTAGAAACTTGGCCTAAAAATAATCTTTGCACATATCAATTGTCCAAGAAAAGAGTCTCTTCCTCTATGACCCCCATAATAATATGGGAGGCTAGCAGAGAGGGAACAGATCACTCTAATCCAGGGGTCCTCAACCTTGCAACTTTAAGATCCCTGCTCTAATCCTTTTCAAAGTTTCTAGACCAGGGATCTTCAAACTTGGCCCTTTTATGACTTATGGACCAACTCCCAGAATTCCTCAGTCAGACATGCTAGCTAAGGAATTCTGGGAGTTGAAGTCCACAAGTCATAAAAGGGCCAAGTTTGAAGACCCCTGTTCTAGACTCTTAACAGTCTACTAACTTTTATGGGCTTAACTAAAAGGTTATTATAATCAAACAAATTGGCTTCCTTATGTCATTTGAATTTTATGTACTTCACGATTCTTATATGAATTTTTCTTCAAGCCTAGATAAAGAGCAACACTTAATTATTACTGAGAGAAGCAAGCTTTCTGCTATGTTCAGGCAGCATATAAACTGCTATCCCAAAAGCAAAAGACCAATCATTCTCCCAACCAGTCCTATCTTTTTTCTAAGCACTGGATACACACTGTCCCAGTGATAGTGACATTCATATTTATGGTATTCTAGTGTCAAAGCTGTGCATATAATATACTGTGCTTGCAAAGTATTTATTTTCAGTGCAGTTTTGTCTTTATTCTCTGCTTCTGCATTACATGACTATTGCTGGCATCATGTCTCTCACAAGTGGCATTGGCAATTTGAAGCACAGCTATACAATTAAAGAACTCACTCACATCACTGCTAATTGTAAGTATGTCAAAGTTACACAAGTACTATGAATGCTAATTGTCTTGGCATTACTACCAGGATGTTTTCTTCAAATCTTAGCTAAAAAAAATAACTGCTGCTTGGCACTTTCTCTGTGTTTGAGGGCACCTACTAATGAGAAGGAATTCCTCCATCAAAGCTGAAGCATAGGGAGAAGACACAAATTAATGAACTGTTCTCTGCCTGCTTAAGTTTTTGACAAATCGGTACTTATTAGCAATGTACCTTCTTACCCTGTATAAATCAAAATATTTATTTATTTAGTCAATTTATATGGCTGCACACCTCAATAAATGACTTTGGGCAGCTAATAGTCTTAAAAATAAGCAAATACATCTATAAAAAGTAAAAATTACACAGCAAACATGCAAAAGCATAACAACTATGAGCAGAGCCAGGAAATGGGCTCCTTCACACACTTGGGGTCCCAAGCAAACAGCCTCAAGGACAAATCCTATCAGACACGGGATACAAAACTTATTTAAAAATATATGAAACTTCCTATATATATTTACATTATTGGCCTTTATACTGTCTTGCACAGAACTTTCTGCATGGAAAACACACACACTATAATTGAGGTACAGTCCCTCTCCATGAATTATAGATACTGATACATTGCTATACTAACTTTAAATTAATTAAACCAACACCATCCCACTGACATGCACAGCAAAATGACCAATGCAGTTGCAAAGTGCTCAGTGCCAATTTCAAAGTCTAACTGCACCTATCAAAGATGGCAGGTGGCAAGCAATGCTGTTTCGAAATCAAAGGTCACCCTGGCGATGAATTCTTTACCCTCATCTGTGGAACAGTGGGTTAACCAAACTAACTTTCAAAACACATCTATTAAATAAGCCACTGAAATGTTTTAAAATAGATAATAAACATGTTTGTGATTCTTCCAATCACAATTAAGTCAGAACTAATAATAAATTTCAGGTAAGCATAAACCCTTTTTCATTTAGGGAAGCATTCTGAAGCCAGAAATACGATGGAATTTAAAAAATCATGAATCAGCAAAACCTCATCAGGCGCATGAAATCTACCTGCAGGTGAGCCACTGTACCTGACACTCTGTAGATGCCTTCGCATTTCATGCCATGTTTTTCTACATAATCTATACATTCCCGGAACACTGCTGGTAGACGGATGCCATCATATAGCATGGTTCTTTCTGCTGCATCACTCAAAGGGACCCCAAACACAGGCCTGTGCCTAGGAACATACACCGGTGGCATTTCTACCTCCTGAAGTGTTTTCTTCTTCTTCTTCTTCTCTTTCCATTGTTTGACAACATCTGCTGCCGTCAAGTCTTTTGATTTCTTCTCTTTGTGCTTCTCTTCCTTGTGCTTGTCCTCTTTATGCTTTTCGTCTTTGGGTTTTTCTTTTATCTTAAAGTCTTTTTCCTTCTTTTTGGAGAAACTGGGCTTCTTAAAAACATGAATCCCTTTAGAGCGTTTTAGCTTAGAAGGACTTTCAGCTTCATCCCCTGAGCTATCTTCCTGAAAAGCTGCATAGCCTTCCGCTGTTGGGAGGGGGGGGGGGAAGGAAGAACAGAAATAAAACCAGATGTTTAAGCTTATGTGTAAGAAAAAAAGGTAGTGCTAATGTGCTATTATTCAAAACACACACTGTTCTGCAGAACTAAACAAGTCAAATATTAGGAGTTTTGCACATTTTCCTTTCTGAGAAAAATCAGATCAGTTCATCTCTTGATTATTTACTGACTAGTACACTTGGAGTTTTGTCGCTATGTGCACTCTGAACTTATTATAAATAACAATGCAATTTTTTAATAATTCTGAAAACATCCCACTTGAGTCTAATGTTATTAGGCTAAGAACTGTAACTTCATCACAGAATAAAATCTTGTATCAAAGTGAATACAGAACTGATGTACAGAATAATGGCCGGTATAAATGACACACATAATGTCCTCAATTTAAAATCTTAAAAAGATAATGCCAAGGTTATTTTCAGCTCTTAGTTGATTTCAAAAATCAAGGAATGCGGAAAGTAGTTTTTTAAAAAATCTCCTACATTACTATAATTATCATGATCCTAAATCAGTACTTTACAAGCACATTTAAAAAAAAGTTGTTGAAAATTGCGCAGAATATAATTCCAACCTAACTCACTCAACCACTTTATTTTTCTTTCTTTTTCAAATATTAAACCAGGTGTTCTAGAATATAGATATATTAATGTGCTTAGGCCCATTCTTTAAAAAAAAAAGAAAACTTACTTTTCAATTCAGTTGGCAAAGCCATCCCAAGCATCCTGTCTCTTTATAAACTACTCCTGCTCAAGTGGATTATAGAAACTGTACATGTGATTACAGTTCCACAGCCATAAGACAAACTTAGCTCTTATGTGAATTACCAAGTTCTTTACAATCTTTGAAATATATGCATAGGTGTCTAATAACCGATACCTCCTCTATAACTAGTCCCGCCTAGCCTGTAGGTAGCAATGGGAAAATCAGTTTTAAACAAACACATACACCTATAATTAATTGCAACACAATTGCAGTGCTTCCCAAACTTTTTTCCTTTGTTACCCCAAACCACTTATCAGAAAGCCTTTTTACCCAATGTAGGTAAAACACTTTAAATCAATTTAGATGTCCCTGTTATCATTAGGTAATAGGTCTCTGATTACCTAAAGAAACACCACTTTTACCTAATGTTCAGTAATTTACACAAGTTTGAAAAGCACTGATATAAGGAAAATACAAGGAAAAGGCTGAATGCAATGAAAAGTTCCAGGCTATTCAAAGTTGTTTTCATACTTCAGAAAATGCTAACAATGGAGTGCTGATTAATAAAAATAATATTGCACTATAGCCATTTAAAATGATCAGAACATTTGGTTCTTTGATATATATCAGTGGTTCTCAACCTTTTTAATGCCGCGACCCCCCCCCAACCGGTCGTAAGTCGAGGACTACTCAACCGGTCGTAAGTCGAGGACCACTCAACTGGTGCAGCACCGTTTGCAGAATGGGACTTTTGGCGGGCTCAGCAGGGCAGAGACAGCCTGGACAATTCCTATTGGCTTTTGAAAGCCAATAGAATTAGACTCTATTCAAGAGAGTCTATTCTATTGGCTTTCATAAAGGGGAGTAGCTAAGGAAAAGGGGAAAAGAAAATGGCGGACTGCGTTGTTTGGCAACCCCCGTGAAATGGTCGTTCCACCCCAAATGGAGTCCCGACCCACAGGTTGAGAACCACTGATATTGATATATATATAATTTTACGCGGGAGAAAACCCGAGCAACCAAAGACCTACATATATACACACACACACACACACACACACACACACACACACACACACACATACATATATACATACATACATACATACATAACTAGCCATTAGCACAAAAAGATATTACTTTGAGAGGATATCATATTACTATTCCCACATGGAAATATTTTTCATTTAAAAACTATGAAAGCGTTTCCATTTTACAGCTGTTTAGAGTCTGAGAACTGAAAAGCCAGGGCTTGCCCTGGTTAAAAAAGTTCCTCAATATATATATCAATTTCTTCATGCTTAAAGAACAACTGGTTATTTTAAAACATGGATATCATCAACACTGAAAGTGAAGTAATAAATAAAGAATAAAGAACATCTGACAAAGAAACTGGGTCATTAAAAAAAAGACAATTTTTCTTAAAGTGACCTACTTCTTTTCTCCTTTTTCTTAAATTTCCCTTTCTTCTTCCCATGTTCTTTCTCATCATCAGACACAATATCAGGAGGTTCGTGGAGGCTGTCATGAGGTGGTGAAGGCTCACTCGTGCGATATAAACCAGGGAATTTCGTTGGGCTGATTTCTTCAGAGCTTGGAGTCCTGGCCAGACTTCCACTATGCTCTACCCTGCGGTGTTCGCTGGGACTGCTTGTGGGGGGCAGGAAGCACTCTGTCATTCTTACTCTCTGACACCACAGCAGAACAGTATCCTGTTACCTGTCCATTACTCCTGCAACAAGAACACAATCTGAAATCCTCCAAAGATTCTCAGGGACAAAAAGATGTTTTCAGTGCTGCATGGGACAACAGGCTCATGGTACGTAGTACTTGCATCAAGCTGCAAATGTAGACAACCGTAATTTAATTATCACTTGAAGCAACAGAATTTCAATTTGTAAACATCAGATTCATATAACATCCTGACTGGTATAAATGCTGTGATAAATTTTCTTTCTTTGAACCACAAGTGCAACCTGCACATGATAACGATGGAAAGCCATGAAGTGACCTTGCTTTGCTATGGGATGACCATAATCAGAAATATTTCCTGCTGGGAACAGAACGAGTTGGGGATTTGTTAGCAGGCTGCAAAATTGGACTTCACAAGACACACTTACCACGTGGACTATAAGATGCCCATCCCTTTGTCAAAAATGAGCAGGAATTCCACTACTTTTTTCCGCATTATTTTTTATTAAATATATCAGGAAGACATATCAGGAAAACCAACATATAGCCATCACCTCATAACTTTAATTACCTCCTGGCAGATTCTCAGGATTAATTAATCTATGGAAATTCTCAGCTTACGCAATATACTAAACCTAATCAACAGCTTTAATCAGAAAAGTATAATGGCATTCTTGATGAAACTGGCAGGAATAATGTATTAAGCTCATTTGTACTGTACTTACCATAATCTAAATATACCCTTCCACCACTTCCCAAGCATTTTATTCTTTTCCAGGCAATCCCCTTGTATTAATTTCACTAAGTAGCCTTGAAACTAAAGACCTCTTAACACAGAGCTATTATTTAAGTTAATAAGAATAAATTGCATTAGGAATGGAGTAATTCTACAAGTCCTCTTATATACAGTATAGGTAGGCAATTAATAGGTACAAATTCCCAAATATAATCAATCTTCCCTCGGCCCTTCAAACTGCCATCATCTAATGCTCCAAATTGTTTTCACTGTCAAAACAATAAGCCAGATCCATGTTGGGTCTCCTAAATGCCAGAACCGAGATCCAGCAAATGAAGGAAAAAGCAAGCAAGGAGATTTTCTTGGTAGTTCTTCCTTCCTTATATTGCCTTGCTCCACTAGAAATGTTTCCCAGCCATCTGTGGCAGTTTTTCAGAAGGAATGGGCAGCTGCAAGAGAAAACATGAAGACCTGCCTACCTTATTGCTACTCGGATTTAAGCTACTGGTGAAATCCCAGGAACAAATGCTAATACGAAGAATAACAATGTAACACCATGTCTCTTCCCTCTCTTCTGAGATTCTTTGGTATGATAAGGAGCAGAGCTGCTTCCAAAGCATTTTTTCATTCCTTAGCTGGAATCTGAACGGATGAATATTTGTATACAGAAAATTAAATAAATACAATAAATAAATGAAATTCAACATTCCCAAACAGAATTGGTGCCAGATCTCTAAAAAAATCATAAATGCATTGCAGTATTCACCAAATATACTATGGAGCAACTGCTTCTAAAAGCAGGTCCGTAACATCTCTTTGAGAAAACATATTCTCAATGTACATGTCATTTACTTTTATCCTTCATTATTTTTATAAATAAGTCAAGGCAGCAAACATACCTAATATTCCTTCTTCCTTTTATTTTCCCATAGTAACAAACTTGTGAGGTGAATTGGGCTGAGAGTGTGTGACTGGCACAAGGTCACCCAGCTGGCTTTCATGCCTAACATGGGACTAGAACTCACAGTCTCCTGGTTTCTAGTGGGTGCCTTAGCCCAGGGGTAGGCAACCTTTTATGACTCGTGGACTTCAACTCCCAGAATTCCTGAGCCAGCCAGTTGAAATCCATGAGTCATAAAAGAGCCAAGGTTGCCTACCCCTGCCTTAGCCACTAGACCAGTGGTTCTCAACCTTTCTAATGCCGTGACCCCATAATACAGTTCCCCATGTTGTGGTGACCCCCAACCACTTATACATCACCAGGTGCCAGGGGCATGGCCAAAGAAAAGGGGGGAAAAATGGCGGACAGTCTTGTTTGGTGACCCTCGTGAAATGGTCGTTTGACCCCAAATGGGGTCCCGACCCACAGGTTGAGAACCATTGCACTAGACCAAACTAGCTCTAATATATGTGTCAATGCTCCACTGGTATTTTAAAATATATTTTAAATGTATATCATTGGGAGTTGCCTTTAGCAAATCTGCAAAGCGGAGTACAAATGCTTATATTAGATAAATAACTCCCACACAATGATATCACAGCAAATTAGCAATGGTGTACCTCGGGGCAGCCAAAATCTTGACCACTTTTATCTTCCTAGTTTTCCCCTTTTTGAAGGTGGGATTTGTACATATGAAATAAAAATTGGAAATTCAGTATGCCTACTGCAACTGGCAGAAGACACAACATCTGTCTATTTAGAAACATCTTTCAAAATGTCTGCTAAAGTTTTAAACCCAAAAATAATCCCAGTAGATATTCAAGATTTTTTTCCACTATCTTTTCAAGGGCGTTCCAAGACTATTCTAGGCTCCAATGCATCCTTTCCCTTCATGTTAATTTTAAGGTGGGGTAGAGATTCATAAAGCAATATAATACACAATTATAATATAGACCTTTAATTTTCCACTTGTTTACTTCAACTGCAGAATATAGTGCTTATTTTAAAGCAAACCATGACTTAGATAGGAAATTATTGTTTTGATTACAATTAATTTACATCCACGCAAGCCAGTCTGAAAATAAAGTACGTTTTTCAACAGAAAGAATAAAATGTCTCAAGTGTACACTATGTGCTGGTAGAACAAGTTTTCATTCCAAAAACCAGTATCATGGGATAAAGATAATCAGGCAATTTATTGTTCCCACATGAATCACAATCACACTTCAATTACTATTAGTGAAAGGATTTCTAATGATGCAAGTTTCACAGGCAAAGCAGATACCAAACCGCACATGATGCAAGAGGTATCTCTGTACTCTCCTTACCGTCAGGGCTAGTGACAGCTTGTTAGAGAAATTCTAACAAGTGTGTGTGAAGTAAATGTATTAATCTTTCCCTCCTTTGGCAACGCTATTCTAAAGATCTGTGTGGCTATTTTAAAATGAAATAAAGAAAAAAGGAGTGCAAATCAAAATTCTCCTGTATTATATGCAGTCTGAAAGTTGTCTGCATTTTCAATCTGGTCAGGCTGAACAGGTTGCTAGTCCCTCTGTTACTTCTAAGACAGATACACTGCCACCTTTTGTCTTTATCACTACTAGACCTCAGCTGGACAACCCAAGAATCTAAGACTAAAGCAGAGGTTTTCCATACCTTTTGTATTTTCTCTTTAATATCTGGATAATAGTATGTTCCTCCAATATTGTACCATATGGACAAGAGTCTCAGGCTGGTAAAAAATGCTAAGATCAACTCCAGCTGAATAAATGTCAGAGGTCAATGAAGATCACATGCAGAAGTCACCTTCAATCTCATGACCCAAATACCACTACTACACAGAGTTTATTTTTGCAGCGTTGCTTTTTAACAGGGCTTTTTTTCCTGATAAAACACTCAAAACTTACTATGGTATATTTATTTAAAAGACTTATACCAAATCTTTTATAGTCTAAAAATCCCCTGAATGTTAAAAAAAAAATACACTCCCAAATTGAGCATATTTTGTCCAAGTCTGCTAAATAAAAATCCTTTACATTGATGTAACGGATTCTCATTTAATGGATTTCGGGCATAACAGACAGGTAACAGACTAAATTTCCAATAGATATCCTCCAGAAATACTTGCATCTGAAGTAGTCCAGACAAGGGAGTTAAATTTGTTAATCATCCTTAATGTTATGACACTGGCAACAATTTATATTATTTGCATAATAACATTAGGCCAATGTTATCATTTTTCTTAGTAAATTGATGGAAATTATGACATTTTTAGCAAAGGGTTGCAAAGGACATATATCATTGCAAAGTCATATTTTACTGTTAAGACATTTGGGAGTAATGCATACTCCTTCCCCCCTAATGTTGTTAAAAGCTTTCATTGTGGATACATATATATACATGCCCACACACACACACGCCACATAAACATTTCCTCTGACCGGTTTCATATTCTCAATTTGTTATTAAACAATTGCATTAACACTGAAGGGTGAAGCAGACTTCTCCAGCACTGCATTCAGAGAACATATGTGTCTGCAATTCGGGGACCGTTGCACAAGTGCTCCACTTATATTTCTGCAAAGGTAACATTCTGGCTAGGGGGCACTCAAATGGCAAAGCACAGAACAGGACCAATCAGCAGGGATGTGCATTTCCACATAATGCGCAGTTGGGCTATGGGAGGTGTGTGTGTTGGCCTGTCTGTAGCCATCTTCAACCTACACTTACCCATCAACCCCTTCACAGCATAGGTATACAGGAACTCCTATAGGCAGTTGCAGGCAACTCTAAATCAGCCTTCAGAAGGTCACAAACACTTTTCATGCACTTTGCCAATAAATCATCAGACAATTTAGTTTTATCATTAGAAGTCTATTTCAATGTTACTTCAGAAGAAAAATAAATATTGCATTTTCTATTGGGACTTTCTGGGACTGAACTGCATAAAAACATAATTACTCATTTCAATTTTCCCAGTTATGCAGCTGCAATCTTTCCTTGATTCTCAGATGCTTGTTTTTGATAATATGTATGTCATCTCTATTCTACACATAATTAATATATGGAATTCATTTCATGCATTGTAATGACGGCTACTAATTTGGATAGGTTTTAAAAAGTAATAAATAAACCAATAGAAAAACGTCTCTGAAGTGCTATTCTTAAGACATGTAGGTAGATGAACAATTCCACACAATGCATCTATCTATGACAGAGGATACCAAAGGGTCCATCCAGCCACAGTTCAATATTTCTAGGGCCTCAATCCTATATAAAGTGTAGTACATAGATACTGACCACAATAAAATCTAAAAGTGGACTGTGCCAGTATCTGGAAAGGGAAGTGTGTATTATTTTATTTGGTAGTCAAGATGTTTATTATGACTGCCAAGTTTCTATTCCTGCACTTTTTCTGTCCATCTGGCTAAGGTGAAGTTCCATGTAGCAGTTTTAAGAAAAAAGGAAATAATCAGGCTAATTTTGGCCAATACTCAGCAAATGCATTCAAAACAAACAAAAATGTTTGACAAATTTTTTTCTTCTCGTTTTATTTTTAAAAGCATGCTCCAATGTCTCTCTTCCAAAAGCAGCTATCGCTCTAACCACAACATGCAACACAAATGTAGAATGAGAATTTAAGCACAAGACTTTCACATCTGCTTTAGCCTGAAAATAGAGTTTTAATGGTGGCCAAAAATACATGTAAAACTGAACATGGATTAATTTCTCCTCAAAAGGGTGTAATAAGTTAAAATGTTTGCACAATGCATACTACGCAATGAAGAAAGTTGATTTAAACAATATTAGTATAGGAATGTTCTTTCTTGACTGAAATTCTGATATCACTAGAACTTTAAGAAAGAAATCCAACTATGAGACTATAGCAATAGGGAAACCTTGGTAATGTATTGACCAGGTTAAACTTTACAAAAGCTGCTGCTACTTATAATATACTCACTCTCTGGAACCTGAGCAATTATGCAGTGGGGGCGAGTAAATCTGACAACAGGATCAAGCAGAACAATATAAATACATGTATATTAAAAATCCCTTTCCTTATAAAATTCTTCATGGTATTAACTGCTATAAGGAATAGTCTAATTCTAAATTAAAATAATAATATAGCTAAAGTAGTAGTAATAGTGATATGAGTTCCAGTATTGTGGAACTCTAGTACTGTGGAGTTTTACATGTATTATACTGCTGAAAATTAGCATAAGCAATCTAGAAAACCCATAAAAACATCACAAGATTACATAATTTAATGAAAACCTGAACACCATGATAATACAGGCAACAATACAATTATTAGATTAAAAACTATAAACAATACTGCTACAACAGGGCACTTCCCAACTATAGTAATTCAATTTGTATCTTATTATTCTATAATTATTCTAAATGGATTTAAACTTTATTTATGAAATTCAAAGAGCACAAACAATAATCAAAATACCATAGACATAAAATGGTAATATTTACAATTACAACATCAAATGCAGATAAATTTTTAAAAGAAAATATTTATGTATCAAAAACCTTGGACCAGATAAGTTTTTCTATCCCATCTCTGAAGAGAGAGAACTGGGAGGAGATTTTAATTATATCAGAACAGAAAGTGGGCTTCTTGGACAAATAACAAGCTTCAGATAGGATTAGGGAAGAGATTACTATTATTAAAATACCCTTGTTCTAGACTACTTAAAGTTTTAAACTAAGCTAAACAGACAAATGTGTTTAGGACTGACAATATGGTCAAATGAACATATGGCAAGCTACTTTTTTTTCCAATTTGTTGTTGACAATTTTCAAGAAAGTTTTGCAGTAATCTAACCTGGATATACCGTGTTTCCCCAAAAATAAACCCCACCCCTCAAAACAGACCTACCCTGATTTCTGGGGGCAGACCTAATATACCGTATATGCCAGCATATAAGACGACTTCCGGAAGCGCTAAACTCAGCGCCAAAGACTGGGGTCGTCTTATACGCCGAGTCTTATACGCCAGAAATACCAGTAGTTTCCGGCATATAAGATGACGTTCTAGGAAGGAGACCCGGCGATAAAGACGGGGGTCGTCTTATACGCCGGGTCGCCTAATACGCCGGCATATACGGTAAGCCCTACTCCAAAAATAAGTCCTAATTAGGATCCCACCCACTCAGTCCCACCTGACTGCTGCAATGGGGCAGGAGGCTGTGCGGCACATTGCACTGCTGCTATGAGGCGAGGCAGGTGGGGGAGGGGATGGAGCTTCCCCACACACCCCTCATCCGCTTCCTTCCCCCCCAACTGAGCCATTCTTTGCTCCCTTTCACTCCCCTCCCAAGCCGGACTGCCATGGTACTGTACGGAGGATGGGCGGGGTAGGCCTGGTCCCCTCTGCCATTTCGGAGCCAGGGGGGAGTGAGAGCAAAAGGCTCCGCTACCACTGTGTGCCACTGGAGGGGCTTTCTTTGTGCTCCGCCCACAGATCACTGCCCGGCGGCATCTGCTGCCTCCTTCTTCTCTGTCAACTCTCCTGTGGTTTGTATAGTGACCAGGCGGTACAAGCCTCCCCTGCTGCCTCCCTCTACTAGCCCTCTGTCGCTGCCACTGGAGAGAACACAGAACGGGAAGCGGAATGGCTGCAGAAGTGGGCCAGCAGCCATGGGGGCTCCTGTTGGATGGGGCTGTTTGTGCCACCACCAGGAGGTAAGTGTCATGAAAAATATAAGACGTCACCCAAAAGTAAGACCTAATGCCTCTTTTGAAGGCAAAAATAATATAAGATTGGGTCTTACTTTTGGAGAAACACGGTAGTTAGAAAACAAATAACTGAAACCAAGTTCATCTTTTTTACAATAGACATCACTTGATGAATCAGCCTAAATTATTAGAAACAAACAAAAACAATATCTAAGCCATAGCTACCTATCTAGGGAAAGCACAAGATGTATCAATTGATTATTAACAATGGATCATAATAAAGGACACAGAACACAGTAAAGGTATTTTGTATGCTAAAATAAATGTCATGTGAGACAAGACAGATAAATATACTCTATCATTTAGTCACACCTATTCTGTATCTGCTGCTAACTATACAATGGGAAGACTTTGAGAAATGTAACTTATGTTAATAAAAGCTTCTCTTCAATACACAAAAATGGTGTGAGACTGTAGGTCTATAAATACAAATGGCCCAATATATCAGAGTATATCAAAGGAACCAAAGATAACAGATGATATACATACTTATATATCATTAATGAAGGAAAGGTTTGGAAATAGTAAAAGGTTTAAGCAAAATGTAGGTAGGACAGACAAAGGAATAAAAAGAAAGGAAAGTGAACGAAGCATTTTCCACCATAACATGACATTTCAGTCTAAGTAACACATATTACCAGCACTGCTTTACCTGTTAATTTTTTCCCTATTAATTTCTTTCACACTAGCCAGAGGACCTCTCCCTCATAACAAACACAAACAATAGCTTTGGCAGAATCAATTACATTATTTATTTCAATCTCACATTCCATGACAGATTAAAAAAAAAAAAGTAGCACAAACTGCATTTGGAACTAGTGTTTGTAGGCCACAAACAAATACACACATATGTGGAATCTTGATGTTCACACATTCAAATACAGCTTGCATTGCACATTTCCGCAATTTTTAATGACAGGAGCTGCTGTCACAATGACTGCAAAATGCATACTCATGAATCAGTTTAAGAATATTCCTTTTGTTTAGAACACATAATTTATCTTGAATGTGGCAGACAGAAGATCTGAACAGTGACACATAAAATTACAAAACATGTACTTTTAAATATATCTAACAACTGAAATTGCTACTGGGATTCTCTCAACAATCCCTCGTCAAACATATTCTGTTGCATGCCTGTTTTTTTCACAAAATTAACCAGAAGCAGTAAACAGATTAAGCAACTAGTTGTTTTAGATTACAATCCAACAAGCTTTACTGTTGCTCAGGAGTACATATGAACCACCTGATGACTATGAATTAATTACCAGGCACCAGACTTTTCTTGCCTACTGTTTTTCACATTTACATCTAGCAAAGGATTCCGAAAGTTACAGTCCCCGTGTATCTGGAGGCAACCTGGCCCTTCTGACTAGAGCCACAGAGTCGTCCACAAATTCATCGTCGAAGTCTGGTGCCCTTGAGCAATGGGCAGAGAAATCCGAGTGAGCAATGATAAATGGCAGGCGGACTGCAGAGCATTCATTCAAAATTTGATTCCCAAGTAGAAATGCAACCTGAAAGCATTTGAATATGGCACATAAAAACCCCAGGGCAATTGCGTCGCATCTCCGGAGGTACCCCACAACAAACATCTGAGCAAACGGGGTGCGCGGGAAATGACAGCGCAAGTTCCAACCACAACTCAGGGCGCTGTATGGAGCTGAGCACGCATGCGCATGCCAGAGCACGCGTCAGCTACTGCCCATCCCCATCGTGGTCACCGAGGGGCGGCCTCCCTCGTCGGGAATGGAACTTCGGTGGAAAAGAACCCGGAATATGGGAAGGCCATGCATGATCTTAACACTGACCTGAGGAATGGGGAGAGGTATCATGCCGCTCGCACAACGGCTGTGCTAACTTCACCTTCTACCCGGCATCATTCAAACCTCGCTCTGCACTCCAACCCGACGTCGTCTGCTTGCAAGGTCGGGTATAGGAAACAGAAAGAGGCGCATGCGCGGTCACCCTTTTCTCCGTATTTCTTGTTTCTTCCAGCCCTTTGGCTACCTAGGGTAGAGGCCGGAATTAAGCGCGCAAGCGCGTGACGTACAGGGAGGGGCCATCATAATGACTGAGCGACCGATCTTCTCTGGAGGATCAATGAAGGCAGGCGGAAGCGTTGCGCCTGCGTGCTCATTCTCCCTGCTATGGTTTATGTGGAGTAGGCCCTATGGTGCATTTCGAGAAATGTAGTCTTTCTCCTAAATCAGTGTTTCTCAACCTTGACAATTTTAAGGCATGTGGACTTCAACTCCCAGAATTCCACAGCCAGCATTGCTGGCTGTGGAATTCTGGGAGTTGAAGTCCACATGCCTTAAAATTGTCAAGGTTGAGAAACACTGTCCTAAATCCAAGCAGGAGGGACGAGAGAATTTTGAATTGGGATTACTTGTGTGCTTGAACTACATTTGGGAATTGAGGCTGATTTGAGGATGGCGAAAACACGTTCAGGATACAGGCCCACATCTTCAATGTGCTTATCTATTGATTAAAGCTGTGTTGTGTTTCCTTATTGGACCTTATTCCTGATTGAAGGTGCATTTAGACCAGTATTTTTCAACCTTGGCAACTTTAAAATGTATAGACTTCAATTCCCAGAATTCCCCAGCTGGGTTGAGAATTCTGGGAGTTGAAATCCACACATCTTAAAAGTTGCCAAATTTGAAAAAATTCTGATTTAAGCTACCCTGAAGGCCAATTCATTCTTGCAACCAGCGCTTAAGTAACATTTCACTCCAAAAAGAACAAGGTGGCCTGGGCTTTTATTCAGACGTAATCTACTAGGTTACTGGCAACATGATAGGCTTGGCCAGAATACAGCAAAATCAAGAAACTCTCCTGGCCATTGGTGGCAGTGCTGTTCAAGAGGATAGAAAGAGAAGGGTCTTCAGCCATTTCTATCTCTTCATTTTCCTGAATGAAAACTAATTAATTACAAGAAAATCCTACACTCAGCTGCCCATGGCCATCAAAAACACAACCCTTTTACCTTAATTCTGTTTCTTTTTATTAATTTCTACTCACTATTTACAAGGATTGGAATGGTCAGCCTGAGTTTTCCAAATATGGGTAGTCCTTGACTTAAAAACATTCATTTAGTGCAGGCATGTCAAACTTGCGATGTCATGTGACGTTGCGCAACGTATCGGGCCGGTTTTGCCATTGCCGGCAATGCGGTTGGCACAGCTTCCAGGTGACGCATCCGGCCCATGGGCCAGCAATTTGACTACCATGGCACTGAAAAAATGTCATGGGATCAAAATTTGGGAACTTGACAAACGGCATGTATTTGCAGCATCCCAGGGTCACATGATCACAATCTTTCCAGACAGCTTCCGACAATGGAGAAAGCCAGATTTGCTTAACAGCCACATAGTTCACTTAACTGCAGTGATTACTTGACAACAAAAAGGTTGTAAAATCAGGCACACATCACTTAACAACTGCCTTGCTTAGCAACACAAATTCTCATCCCAACTGTGGTTGTAAGTTGAGGACTACCTGTATATAGTAGAATACAGTCCCAGTCAGCATGGCTGAGGAGATGCTGATAATTGCAGCTTAGCTATTTGGGAAAAACCATGGGTCTCCTTTGCTTTATGGAGTCAATGATCCAGTATTATCCTTAAGATAGGTTACAGATCATTAGCCTAGAACAGTGGCCCCCAACCTTTTGGGCATTTTGAAGAGAGGTTTATCTGTGGACCAGAGGAGGTGTGGTTTCGTGTGCTGCCTGCATCCCTTGTGTTGCGTCCTTGGCGGGAAAACAGACACGAGAAGCAGCTGGAGTTCTCAGGTTCTTTTATTCAGCGTTCAGCTTACAGGAAGATGGCTTCAGCTCAGCCCAAACGCCTCACAGCCTCTTATATAGGCAACTCCCGGGTAAATGGGTTACTTTTCCCGCGCCAGCACCCGCGCATGCGCACGGCGCTGGCGACAGCCTGTCTGGTCCCGGGCAGCTTTGCACCTGCCCGGGACTGCCTGCAAACGCCCGAGCCGTTTGCAAGGCTCGGGACATAACACCCCTTTCCCCCGGGCTAAAACTACTATCAACATACAACATTTATTTTACACGACAATTTGCTCCCCAGTGTTCCCACTGTTTACTGGCTTTTGTCTTGCCAACAATGTTATGTAATCTTCTAGGTACTTAGGAGATTTCTTTGCTCTCTGTGACCTTCTTAGCTCTGGGTTACTGGCATAAGTCCCCTGACTGGAGGGAGGCATGAGCCTGTTCTCTCTACTGTGCCCTGGTGTCTTCCAAGGACTGTGCCCCGATGCCTGGCCTGCTTGCTTGCCCACCGGGCTCGTCAGGCCAGGGCTTCTGTTGCTTTGTGACCTGGTTGTCCTACCTAGCTGTAGACCCTCAGGCCCCTTGAAGTGATAGCCACTGCTGGGCGTCTCTGTAGAACCCCCTAGGTCAGTCCAAGACCTGTCAGGAGGCTGTCTATTCCCTGAACCCCATTCTGTGTTTGGGCTCGTGTGGGTTTCTGTACTCTCCCAAAACTCAGGTGTCCCCTGATTTGTGCTAGGGGTGTTGTAGTCGGGACTTGGTTCCTCGACTAGCTCTGTGTATGTTTGACCCCCTGTAGGATTTGGGGTAAGGTCAGGCCAACCTTGGGCATTGTGTGCCAGCTCTCTTGCGGGGAATGATTTGTTGGGATGCCCCCGGGTATCCTCCGTTGCTGGAGTGCTGTGTGCTGTGTGTGGAAAGTGAGTATGCCCCCGGGGTAACTCCCTGGCTGGAGTAGGCGTGAGTGCCTGTTGTGTGGGTAAGCTCCAAGACTTCCTTTTCGGAGCAATTGCAGAACCTTGGGACGAGCCGTTTGTGGCTCCCTCAGTGGCGATGGGCAGTAGCTCTTGCCCTTCCCTTTGCTCCAAAGGGTCCCCCTCCCCCCCTGGAAAAGACCCAGGAGTTTCAGCAGAAAAGTCCCGCCTAGAGCGGAGTTGGTCGATGTGCCGACGCAGGACACGACCGTTGTCCAGGGCAACCTCGTAGGAGAGAGGACCTGTGATCCTGGACACAGAAGCGGGGACCCATGTATGACCAGGCCCGTAATTGCGAGCCCAAACCGGGGCACCCACAAGTAGTTGTCTAGGTGCCCTAGGATGTGAGGTAGATGAAGGCAGTCTGTCCGGATGCAACCGGTCAAGTCTCGTAGTAAGTTGGCGCCCCCAACGAAGTTCAGCTGGACTTCTCCCTGTAGAAGTGGACGGTGTGGTGCGATAAGAAAGGAGAAAGTCAGCCAACCTGTGATGCCAGTCCCCGTAGGTGAGTCTCTTCAAGGCGTCCTTTGCGATGCGCACCATGCGTTCAGCCATACCGTTGGTGGATGGGTGAAAAGGCGCAGATGTGGCATGACGAATCAGGTTTGCCTGTAAGAAAGCTTGGAATTCGGAGGAGGTGAATTGAGGGCCGTTGTCAGACACAATGACATCTGGCAGCCCGTGTGCAGCAAAAATCCCCCTCAGTACCTGAATAGTCTTTGCAGTGGTGGTGGACGAGACAGGCACAACCTCAAGCCATTTTGAATGGCTGTCAACAAGGACCAAGAAGAACTGGCCCTGAAAGGGCCCAGCGTAGTCAATGTGCACCCTAGACCATGGGGACTGTGTTTCCTCCCATTTATGCACAGGAGCTTGGGGCATCTCTGGGCGAGATCGTTGGCACATGTGGCATGCGTGTACCTTAGCCTCAATATCTTTATCTAAAGCAGGCCACCACAAGTGGCTGCGTGCAAGAGCCTTCATACGAACAATGCCAGGATGACCCTCGTGGAGGGATTCTAAGACCCTAGTCCTCATTGAGGTGGGAATGACAACTCTGTTTCCCCAAAGCAAACAACCCTGAGAAAGGGACAATTCGTTCCTTTTGGACCAGAAACTCTGAAACTCAGGACTAGGGCAGTGCTCAGGCCACCCGGACAGGACCCAGGAGCGGACACGTGAAAGTGTGTGATCTGTACCTGTTTCAGCGGTAACATCCCTGGCACTAAGAGGGAGCTCGGGCAAGGCTTGGATTGATAGAATGTTGACAGCTGGCGCGGGGTCAGCTTCTACTACTGGCAGAGGCAACCTACTGAGGCCATCAGCATGGCCCATTTCTTTCCCAGGCTTGTGGATAATGAAAAATCATATGCAGACAAAAAAATAGACCACCTAAGCATTCTAGGGGAAATGATGTGGGGAGTCTGCTTACGTGTGGTAAACAGTCCCAGCAGAGGCTTATGGTCAGTGAAGACCGTGAAATGCCTGCCATATAGAAAATCGTGGAATTTTTTAATTCCAGCAACAACAGCCAGAGCCTCCCTGTCTATCTGAGCGTAGTTGCGCTCGGCAGAAGACAGTGTTCTGGAGTAGTATGCAATAGGAACCTGAGTTCCATCAGACCTGAGGTGACTCAGGACAGCTCCAACCCCGTAGGGGGATGCATCACAAGCGATGCACACAGGAAGAGACTCGTTGAAATGTGCAAGAACACTGTTAGAAGTGAGCAAGGCCTTGACTTCTTTAAAGCAAGCCTCATGTGCTTGTGACCACAGCCACACAGCTTGTTTGTCTAGTAGCCTGTGAAGAGGCTCAGCTACACTAGCTTTATGTGGAAGAAAAGAATTGTAGAAATTCAGGAGGCCTAAGAAGGCCTGAAGTTCGGCCTTAGACTTTGGCCTGGGTGCTTCTAAAATAGCAGTTAGTTTGGATTCAGCAGGATGAATCCCAGCAGCATCAATTTTGAATCCCAGAAATTCAGTAGAAGGCACCCCAATCTTGCATTTGTCTTTTCTGAGCTTAAGGCCTGATTTCCTGAATCTTAACAGGACAGCCCTAAGCCTTTCAGCTAGAATGTGTGTGGAGTCTCCTGCAATCAAGACATCGTCAAAGTAGGGGCAGACCCCTGGTATACCTCGTAGTGTGTTTTCCATTACGCTTTGGAAAAT